CAAACAAACAAACAAACAAACCACCAGTGGATCAGAGGTAAATCTTAAGGCTTATAACGCTAAAAACTGGGTTTCGATACCTGTGATGGGCAAAGCAGAGGTAGCCCATTTTGTAGCTCTGCGTTTAACAACAAACAACAATCATTTATGTACAAATTGATATTTATTTTCCTAATTTCTAGAGTTTAATTTATAATGTGAGTCACCACCTACGACTATTAATATATATAAGATGTAAAATGCAATATAAATACATCATACTTATGATAAAAGTATCAAGTAACATAAACTGAATACTACTTAATGTCTGTGATGCATATTAGTGTGTAAACGACACCTTTGTACTAGTAATAAAGAAACGTATTACACTAAATTTTTCTTTAATCACGCACTCAACGTTTCGCTTTACAGCTTCTTCAAGAGCGTTTCACTAAAGTTACGGTTTGTGTTTTAAGTGGAACGTTCCTGAAGAAGTTGTAAAGCGAAACTTTGAGTGTCCAATTACAGAAAAACATAACAAATTTGGTGTTATAAAATCGTTTATTTCTAGTAGTGAAATGTAAACTAAGTGCTGAAATATATATATCAAAAGCATCCCAGTGGCTCATCGGTAAGCCTCCTGGCTTACGACGCTAAAATTCGGGTTTCGATACCCGTGGTTGGCAGTTCACACATAACTCAGGATTTAGCTTGGCGCTTAACAACAACCACGCAAAACCACGTCATATATATATTAACAATTTATTGAAATTTTGCAATATGTATATATGTAAATCTATGACTATACGCTATCCTTGGATTTCGTGTTTTTGGTAATATTCAGAATATATAAAAAAATAAAACCTTATAATCTGAACGCTTTCGAAAGATGGGCCTTTTTTCATCAGGGGCAAACTGGGAATATATATATATACTAGTGACGTAACTGTCCGATATTTCGACACTATCCTGTATTATTTGTTCGTTTGTTTGTTTGTTATTAAACACAAAGCTAAGCTGGAGGAGCACTCATTAGAGGGGCACTGAGTAGAGTTTTAACTAGAACTAGAGGGGCACTCAGTTGAGCGTATACCTCTGTCACGCAGCGTTGAACCCATTCGGAAAAACAAAATACGAAAATGTGTCCGTGTGTCTGTCGTTATCAATGGATACAGACCATTTACAGCAGAACAGTGAGGAATAATATTCTACATAAGTCCACCGAGATCCATCAAAATCTGATTTTTTTTTGACTGAGTTATAGACCAAAAATAGTGTGAAAAATTCGGTCCCCATGTTAACAGATAGGGATTTTTTTTATTTTTCCTGACCTTGCCGTGACCTTGACCCTCCAAAAATTAATCACTTCTAAGATGTGCCATAGTCCAAATGTCTACCAACTTTCGTTCAAATCCATTTAGCCATTTTTGAGAAATCTCGCTGACAAACACAAAATATAAGCCCACAGACGTATGCTAGGTCAGTGGGAAGCATTTATTTGTAAATCTATTTGTTTCTCAGCGAATTTCTCTCACAGTTTGGGATCTAATAGGACTCGGAGATGTCCGGAGGATGTCTTTTATCTGTATAGAGTAGCCCCATATCAAATAGTTTATTAATGGGGCTAAAAAGTTCCAAAATGTCGCCCAGACATGATGAGAATCTTAGAAGTAGATGTGCTGGGTCGCTGAAGTTGGATCTAGCACCGGATTTTGTATCCCTGGTCCATTTTGGGATCCTGAGAACGCCAGATTCGAAACTCTATCCATACTCCTATTCACAAGCTAGCGTGAACAAACTCAGTACACGTGTTCAGGTACCAAGAGCAGATGTCCTGACTAGTTTTTTGTTTTTTTTATGGTACGGATCCCCTTGCAAGAGCTTGATCCCTACATTAGAGCCTCTGTGCATCACGCTAGATTTTTTTAATATAACTTTAAAAAAACATGCAATTTCGTTGAACTAAAAAAAAAAACGAAAAAAAACAGACTTTACCTTACACACCTCACATGTAAGGTTCAAGGTTTTATTTCATAATAATAGTCTCGTTACAAAAAAAAGAGAGACAGAGAGGAGGGAAGAAGGAAAAATGTTGTGTTCTTGTGAAGGACACAAAACCATATATAAATATAAACTTTAAAAAGTTTAAAATACATTTTATAAAAAAACAGTTGTTTGAAATCTTTCATTATAATAGCTTAACATTAATTTCATAAATAAAAGATCTTAACACACCAAATTTCGTTGTTTTTTATTATTTAATTTGACACTCAACCTTTCGCTCTACAACTTCAGAAGCATTTCTCTAAACACAAACCTGAAGATGGTGGAAAGCAAACGTTGAGAGTCCAAGTAACAACAATCAAACAAAATTTGATGTTACAATGTCGTCTATTTCTAGAGTCCAGTATGCACTCAGAAATTAAATAACTTAACATTGTTATAGCAGACTTGAACGATACATATTTAGCTTTTGTGTTAATCTGTTCCCTACATTACATGAACTAGATATTGTTACACAGTCATGAACGATACATATTTAGGTTACTTTTGTGTTAACCTGTTCCTTACTTTACACGAATTAACATTGTTACAGCAGACTTGAACGATACATATTTAGGTTACTTTTGTGTTAATCTGTTCCCTACTTTACACGAATTAACATTGTTACAGCAGACTTGAACGATACATATTTAGGTTACTTTTGTGTTAATCTGTTCCTTACTTTACACGAATTAACATTGTTACAGCAAACTTGAACGATACATATTTAGGTTACTTTTGTGTTAATCTGTTCCTTACTTTACACGAATTAACATTGTTACAGCAGACTTGAACGATACATATTTAGGTTACTTTTGTGTTAATCTGTTCCCTACATTACATGAACTAGATATTGTTACACAGTCATGAACGATACATATTTAGGTTACTTTTGTGTTAATCTGTTCCCTATATCACATGACCTAGATATTGTTACACGGTCATGAACGATACATATTTAGGTTACTTTTGTGTTAATCTGTTCCCTACATTACATGAACTAGATATTGTTACACAGTCATGAACGATACATATTTAGGTTACTTTTGTGTTAATCTGTTCCCTACTTTACATGAATTAACATTGTTACAGCAGACTTGAACGATACATATTTAGGTTACTTTTGTGTTAATCTGTTCCCTACTTTACATGAATTAACATTGTTACAGCAGACTTGAACAATACATATTTAGGTTACTTTTGTGTTAATTCGTGTAAAGTAGGGAACAGATTAACACAAAAGTAACCTAAATATGTATTGTTATAGCAAGCTTGAACAATACATATTTCGGTTATTTTTATGTTAATCTGCTTCCAACGTTACATATGGCCCGGCATGGCCAGGTGGTTAGGGTGCTCGACTCGCAATCCGCAGGTCGCGGGTTCGAATCTCCGTCCCACCAAACATGGTCGTCCTTTCAGCCGTGGGGGCGTTATAACGTGACAGTCAATCCCACTATTCGTTGGCGGTCGGTGGTGATGACTAGCTGCCTTCCCTCTAGTTTTACACTGCTAAACCAACATTATATGACCTTAACATTGTTATAGCAAGCTTGAACAATACATATTTCGGTCATTTTTGTGTTAATCTGTTCCCTACTTTACACGAATTAACATTGTTATAGCAAGCTTGAACAATACATATTTCGGTTATTTTTGTGTTAATCTGCTTCCAACATTACATGACCTTAACGTGAATATAATTACAATTTGTACTTCTTTTCTGAACAATTTCTTCAATCTTAAATCACGTTTTTTTATATAAAAAAAGAACAATGGGTAATACCATTTGTAAATATATCTTTAAAAATAATTTTAGATAACGTAGAATAATTGAATTATCCCTAACAATATTAACCACACTATTGTTGTACATCCCCATTAAACGTACTTAATTTTTTTAGTTACCTTTTTTTTCTCCTATTTTTATTAAAATGACTTTTTTATTTGCTTTAGTGTTGGATGCATCAGCGAAGTTTGGTCCTGGAATTTTGGACGGTACAACGACCGACTTTGGATCTTATGATGAGTGTCTCAATATCATTGTGTCCAACAAAAGATCAAAGAAAGAGGACTTTCGTGGAAACTACTGCACGTTGAAATTGAAACCAACTTTTCCTTCACCTTTAGCCCCTCTGGACACAAAACTACAAGATACGGTTAGCTTTGTTGATAATATTTGTAGTAGATGCATCACCAAATTTTTGCACGTATTAAGTAGCATAAAGTGGGTTTATTTGAACTTAAGCCTACTTTATGCTCGATAATAGGTGTCAGGTGATGAATTCATATCTAAGCATTTTTCATTGTTGTTAATCTCAACTTAAACAATGAAAAAGGAAAGAAAAAAAAAAGATTCCATGTTGTTATACTACCGGAAAGTATAAATTGAAAACAAATAACAATAAAATTCAAATAAATCAATCTGTCTATCTAACGGGTAAAATAGGTGTAGTCTTTGTGTTTATGTGTTATAGTGTCTAAAATGAAATGTATTAAAAGATTAAATTGAAAACAAATATCACTAAAAATTCAAATAAACCAATCTCTCTATCAAACATAGTCTTAACTTCAAGAGGCATGACGAGTAAAATAGATGTAGTCTTTGTGTTTGTGTGTTTATATTGTCTAAAATGAAATGTATTAAAAGATCATGGAGAAATAAAGATGTCAAATGTTACAGATAAAAGTCAGTAATTGTAGATACAACACCTTTACAATAACTGTTTGATTTGATTAAAATGTTTGTTTTTTCAGAAAACAGGTGTCGATTTTTAATTTATTATAACTTTATATTCCTAGGTGCTTGGTGAGATAAAGGAGGCGCTAATATTCTTGTCCTCCTTAAACTACTTCTTTGGTTTGTGTGTTCCGTCAACGTGCTCAGCAGAAGATGTTGAAAAATTAGTAAAAGCAGGTATGGATATAGTATATGTATATCTACGCATGCGCGCGTAAGCAAAAATAATGTTTTTATTTCGAGTAAGGAAAGTATTAGAATTTTAAGACGCATGAAATATGAAAGACATTTGGAGTATATACCACCCTAAGCCATGCTTTCTTCTTGCTTCTTAGTTTCTACCACTAGGTGTAGCTACAAACTCAAGAGAACGAACATTTCCTTCTGAAGATGGTTACAAAGTAACATTCTGTAATTGTGAATCTAATTATTGGGTTTACATGATAACTGTGGTCTAATAGATAAACACCAGGTGTTTGAAAGTTATTTAGGTCACCTAAGAGCCTGGAAAACATGAACATAAACAGCTCTGTTTAATATTACCTAATTTTCCTTTTTATCTGATCATAGATGTACTTACTCTCGTGTTTTTTAAACAAGGGTAGGTTTCACAATTCAAAATGACATGCTTGCTCTATTTCTAATATATGTAAATGAATACATTTAAGTGGCTACAAACTAGACCTACTTTCTAAACTGGATTAATATATCTAAATGGATTAGTAGGTGATGATTTTATAAATGGTCAAAATTTTTTATATATAAATCGAAATTACAAGTTATTAAACTATTCTTAAATGTGTCATGTTTATCTGCCATGTTGCAGATTTAAAACTTCCTCCAGATTAGCCCCCCCTCCCCCGTGGCACAGCGGAATGTCTGCAGACTTACAATGCTAGAAACCTGGTTTCGATACCCGTGGTGGGCAGAGCACAGATAGCCATTTGTGTAGCTTTAACCTTAACTACAAACAAACAAACAATCCTTCAGATTAAGAAAATGCAACTACATCTGATTTAATTAAATTTTTTCTCAGTTGAATTAAACTCCAGAAATGAATTAATTCTTGATCATGTAATTCTTAATTAAATTAGTTTTCCGTATTATTTCCGTATTCAAATAAACGAGAATGTAAACTGACACCTTGTCTTAGCCAGCATGACTAATTAGAGCAAATATTGTGTGTGTGTGTGTGTGTGTGTGTTTTAGATTTTTTTTTACTGCTCGTCTTTATGTAGTTTTAAATATACTTATTTACCTCAAAGTTGCTAACATGAATGTACATGATCGTAATTGACAAATATGCAACATTCATGTTGAAATGTAGTTGAATGGACGGCAACTGTCTGTTGTAGAAACATCTCTCAAAGAACATTCATGTTGTCAATTAATTCTCTATGTTGGTCAGAAGACTTTCAGGTTTGCAATTTGGCATGCGACCAATCCAAGAACACGAATAATGGCATGTGACCAATCGCTGTAACGGATAAAAAATGATCTTACCACCTTTTCAGCTAAATAACCTATACACCAACACCTTTAGTCACACATCCTGTTAAAAGTCAATCAAGTTTCTGTTCTTTGTATAATCGGACTTAATACATTTCTTGCAGTTCTTGTCGTGTTTTTATGGCGCCGAAACTGACCACCGACTAGGGGAAGATTCAAAAACCTTTACATGGTATCAAAAGTGTATCTTCTTACCAAAAACTGACCACCACTAGGGGAAGAATCAAAAACTTTTATATGGTATCCAAAGTGTATCTTCTTACCAAAACTGACCACCGACTAGGGGAAGATTCAAAACCTTTACATGGTATCCAAAGTGTATCTTCTTACCAAAAACTGACCACCGACTAGGGGAAGATTCAAAAACCTTTACATGGTATCAAAAGTGTATCTTCTTACCAAAAACTGACCACCGACTAGGGGAAGATTCAGAAACCTTTACATGGTATCAAAAGTGTATCTTCTTACCGAAAACTGACCACCGACTAGGGGAAGATTCAAAAACCTTTACATGGTATCAAAAGTGTATAATTCTTACCAAAAGTCGATTGCAGGCTAGGAGGCAAATTCATAAAACTTAAATGGCAGTGAATTCAGTTGGTGAACATTGTTTTCCATTGGTAACCTCAGTAGACAGTAAATTCAGTTTGCGAGGAGTGTTTTCCTGACCTGAGTAAGAACACAGCATGAGCCCTAACTGTTGTTCAATAGCCCAAATTTAAGGGGTGATAATGTTCTATGAAAATTCTATTCATCATATTTTTTAGGAGCGATAAACTTGTCTTAATTGATCAATTTTCTAGTTGAAGACCACACAACTGCAGATTTCTTTCATATACTATTGTACAAAATATGCTGTTTTTTTTTCATCAAATAGAAGACGCCGACTTTTAATCAGTATTTACATTTTTGGGGAGACAGGTGGAGTAGGCCTTCAGTGTCTTTATTATTCTATTTTGTTTTTAAGCAAACAATTTTTTTTCTCATGAAATATTCTTTTTAGTAGCACCGTCATAACATCCGAATGTGTTTCACTGAATGTTTGTTTGTAATTAAGCACAAAGTTACACAATGGGCTATCTATGCTCTGCCCACGACGGGTATCGAAACTCGGATTCTAGTGTTGTACGTCCGCAGACATACCGCTGTGCCACTGGGGGGGGGCTCACTGAATGTAAGTTGAAATTGTATTTCTTTCCTTCTTTTTTGTTATTGGACCTGTATTTTACTTAATCTCTAAAATTAAGGCAACAAGTCATACTGATCGGTTTTATAACTTAATTAAGAGTTTGAGCATGATGACATTAAAATTACACTTAGATTCAGGTTTGGTTTGCTGAGATATCAAATAAACAAGAAATGTTAAGGCGAAAACTGTAAACTTGAATTTATGAAATAACACGCTCCTTTTAAAATACTGCAGCAAAATGAACTATATAAAAGCCGCCCTGTAGTGCATGTGACAATATTTCAGATAAAAAACGAAAATGAAAGCTCTAGTGAATTTATTGTAAGAGACGTATTTTATGTCAAGAAAAAAGTGCAACTTTTAAAATCGATCAAATGAACATAAATTTACAATTTGGTGATGTTCTTTATCTTTCCTCCATTTTGTAGCTTTTCAAGATGTGGTACAAGTGACAGTGCCTCATTGTGAGGTGAAAACCAAAACTAAGCTGAATGCAGAACAGATCGGAGTCTTGTAAGTTATATTCGTTGAATCTTTAAAACCACTTTTTCTCACTAATAGAAAAACAATATTACACTGCGATTATTTGTAGATATCTTGGCGTCCAGTGTTATACAACCATCGTTTCCATGGATGTTAGAGATGGATAACCTTACATCTATGTAGATGGCACTGTATATCTATCTTGCAGTTCAGTGTTAAATAACCATCATTTCCATGGAGCTTGGAGATGGATAACTTTACATCTATGTAGATGGCACCTGTGTATCTATTCTGCTTCAGTGTTATATAACCATCATTTCCATGGAGCTTGGAGATTGATAACTTTACATCTTTACAGGTGGCTTCACTATGTCCTGATGAAAGTCTAATCACAAAGGTCGAAACAAAATTATTATTTCAATCCAAAATTCGAAAAGTGTCAATATAGTGACCTGATTTTAAGTAAAAATGATCTAACACCTTTTCAGGTTAATTACCACTAGCAAATTGCGCATTGGCTGTTTTATTATTATAATTTTTTCGCTTTTGTTTCTGAATACTTCACATTCATTCTATGACAGTAATTTGACTTTGTGTTTTGCTGTCGTTTGTTTCTTATCGTGGAAGAAAGAAAATTATTATTGACTTTTTTTCTAGCTCAAATACACAATCATTAAACATTGTTTGCTCATGAATTTATTTTGTAGCTTGAAGCAGTTAGCGAAATAATTCGTAATTCTTAAAATAATAATAATTTCAGTCATCTCTTAATGGTTTAAAAGATTAACTTATCGTCCTGTATTTTTCTATGTACAGATCCTTACATGGAACACTTATATTATTGGTGATCATAGGAACCACTCTTGACTTATGGAAACAATATCAACCGAAAGAAAATACAGATGAATCAAAAACTTCTAAGCCGTGGAAGGGTTAGTGTTCTTGCAAAATTTGTTTGAAAAAAATCATTAAATTTTAAGTCTGTATATATATATACTGAGTATATTCACTGATCCAAAATCGACATTGTACATTGAGATCAGAGAACGTTTCGTTAACGAAGACACACACAGTGTTTAGCTTCAGTAATGAAAATTCTTGTAATGCCTCTAATACAAAAACAAAGATAGGTAAGGGATTGAAGGCAAAAGGAAGAGTATTGAATGTGGTATAGGTCTTTGTTAGAGTAAAAAGTAGTGGGTTAAAGAACCCCTGAGAGTAACAGCTTACATTACAGCATATGTAGTGAGTCACATAACACAGTATAGATAATGCTTACATTACAGCATATGTAGTGAGTCACATAACACAGTATAGATAATGCTTACATTACAGCATATGTAGTGAGTCACATAACACAGTATATATAATGCTTACATTACAGCATATGTAGTGAGTCACATAACACAACATAAATAATGCTAATGTTATAACATATGTAGTTAGTTACGTAACACAACATAAGTAATATAATGTTATAACATATGTATTGAGTCGCATAGCACAACATGAGTAATGATAATGTTATAACATATGTAATAAATAACATAGCACAACATAAGTAATGCTGATATTATAACATATGTAGTGAGACACGTATCACAACATAAATAATGCTAATGTTATATATAATATGTGTAGTAAGTCACGTAACATAACATAAGTAATGCTAATGTTATAATATATGTAATGAGTCACGTAACACAACATAAGTAACGCTAATGTTATAATATATGTAATGAGTCACGTAACACAACATAAATAATGCTAATGTTATATATAATATGTGTAGTAAGTCACGTAACACAACATAAGTAATGCTAATGTTATAATATATGTAATGAGTCACGTAACACAACATAAGTAATGCTAATGTTATAATACATATAGCGTTTCATGAAGTATTGGAAACTAGTCAAAGACACACGTAACATAGCATAATAAATGCTTAAATTATAACATATGCAATGGATCACGAAATATCAGAACAGATAACATATTACTACAAAGTGTCTCTCAATAACTAAGTTTAGAATTAGTAGATTTAATGGAGTTGGTCGATGTGTTTTTTTTCAAGTCGAATTACTGTGCGGGAAACACGTTCTTAAGGGATGAAAAAATGATTCATTATATTCCTACTTCATATTTGTGTCTAAAATAGTAACATCGATGTCGTCCGTCATCCGAAACAAATATAAACATAAATATTTATTATTAAATAACTTTTACTTCAATTTGATTTTTTAAACAGATTTAAATATACCTTGTTATATCAATAAGCATATCCAATATAATTTTGAAATAATTCAGACTAATATCATAGCAATAGGCAAAGTATTTCATGAAATTTTTTAGATCTATAAGTCCATTTTTTTTGGGGGGGGGGAGCAAGTAACTCCATGGGAAGATCATTAAATCCTTAAGAACTTGGAATCAAAACCCCACCAATTATAATACAATAAGAAAAACAGGTTCGAAACTTTAAGCCTTTCATCATAGTTTAAATTGTTGAAACCTTGAATCTATCTAGTGCCCCATCTTTCCAAAATGTTGATGTGCTCCCTGTAATAAGGGAATTAAAACTACAAACAGTACTTAAAACTGAACCTCCCAAATGTTACACAAGTTTTCTTATTCTTGAGTTCAAAGTTCATATAAATAGATAAATTCTTGTTTGTATATTCACCACAGATAAACTTCTAATATGTTCTTAGAACATTAATGCGAATCTCAAACAAGAAGTAAATATTTTTCAAACTTTCATACACCAAGTACGTAGTTTTACATTGGCCCATTCACTAAGACTGTCATCTTGAAGATCCTTTTGGATAAAAGAAGCATTTTCGGCAGAATTAACTCCTCCCAGCATTTTAGTATCAGCAGTAAGTTTCGAAATACTGTTAGCCAATAAGTCATATAAGTAATTAACCTACACAATAAACAACAAAGGTCCGAAAGCAGACTTCTGAGGAACTCCACATTTTTCCTGTAAAACAGAATTCTGAGAGATTCAACATTTTCCCCTGTAAAACAGACGTATAGGAGACTCCGCGTTTTCCCTAAGAGACTTCTGAAGTACTGCGCATTTCCCCTGTAAAACAGACGTCTGGGGGACCCCACATTTTTCACTGTAAGAAAAATACATATTGAGTATCGCGCTTCACTTTTTACCATTAAGCCTATTTTCGTCCATTTTACTAATCGACTTCTTCAAATCCAGGATTACAAAACCTAACAATCTGTGTTTCCTGTGCGCCTCTGATTTTGAATCCAAAATGATAAATTAAAAGGGGCATGAGAAATATTCTGATAAGTTTTAGGCCAGTTGGATTCTCCGTCAACTTCCGACGTTTAAATCGTAACCTTCAGAGTGTTATATTGCATATGTAAACAGCGTTTCGGAGAATATCGTGTTTCTCATCGCCCAGTTCAACTGATGAATTCTGGTATTATACGAAAGGCCTCTGGAGCAGTAACTTGTGGGAGATAAAAGTTAGATCTGAAATGATATTTGTACGCGCTTGTAATTTTGAAATCGAAATGGTCAAATTAATAGGAAAATCAAAACAAAAACAGTTTACGTGATTTTAATGTCAACTATAGATTTTTAAACACAAGATTTCCTAGGTAGAGCTTTGTTAGCATTACGATACCAAGTATTTTCAAATGTTATGTTTTAAAACAAAGTATAGGCTTAACGCTACTTTCACCCTATATATCTCAGTGGTATTAATTTATGCTAATAAATAAAAAATGTAATATTGATTTTGAGATAATCAGTTTAACCAATAAGCAACGAGAAAAAAAAAACACACACACATTAATTTATCCCAAATATAGATTTTGAGATAATCAGTTTAACCAATAAGCAAGGAGAAAAACACACACACATTAATTTATCCCAAATATAGATTTTGAGATAATCAGTTTAACCAATAAGCAACGAGAAAAACACACACACACACACATTAATTTATCCCAAATATAGATTTTGAGATAATCAGTTTAACCAATAAGCAAGGAGAAAAACACACACACATTAATTTATCCCAAATATAGATTTTGAGATAATCAGTTTAATCAATAAGTAACGAGAAAAACACACACACACACGCACATACATTAATTTATCCCAAATATAGATTTTAAGATAATCAGTTTAACCAATAGGTAACGAGAAAAAACACACACACACATTAATTTATCTCATTTTGGTGTGAGAATTAGAAATCGTTTTGTTGGTGCAATTGAAATATTGATTGCGTTAAATATATATATATATATAATTAAATAAAATATTTTTTAAATTGTTCTTATCTTTAACTTTCAAGGTGTTGAAGAGATCATCCCATTATTATTTATTAAACTATGGATTGGGGACTTTTTAATAGATATTATATATCGTTTAAGTAATATACAAAATATTATAATACACTAGGGTTATACCTTACCTTTCTACACTAGGGTTAGATCTTACCTTTCTACACTAGGGTTAAATTTTACCTTTCTCCACTAGGGTTATATCTTACCTTTCTACACTAGGGTTATATCTTACCTTTCTACACTAGGGTTATATCTTACCTTTCCCTAATAGGGCTCTATTTTGCCTTTCTACACTTGGATTATATATTACCTTACCTTTCTACACTTGGGTTATATCTTACCTTTCTACACTAGGATTATATCTTACCTTTTTACACTAGGGCTGTATTTTGCCTTTCTACAGTAGGGTTATATCTTACCTTTCTACACTTGGGTTATATATTACCTTACCTTTCTACACTTGGGTTATATCTTACCTTTCTACACTAGGGTTATATCTTACCTTTCCCTAATAGGGCTCTATTTTGCCTTTCTACAGTAGGGTTATATCTTACCTTTCTACACTTGGATTATATATTACCTTACCTTTCTACACTTGGGTTATATCTTACCTTTCTACACTAGGATTATAGCTAACCTTACCTTTCTACACTAGCGTTGTATCTTACGAAAACTTCCCTAATAGGGTTATATTTTACCTTTCTGTTATTAGGGTTACATTTTAATGTCTAACTTTATAGATTGTATCATGCTACTTGTCTTACTGATATATATGTTACTTATTATTTGTTCCAGAAAGTGTTTTAGACATTTTCAAGTCATTTTCTCTATACACCAATGGGAAGCAGTTGCTGAACACAAAAGTTGGATCAGGTAACCTTGGAGTTCTTCATGGATTTCGGTTCTTCACCATGTGTTGGGTGATCTTGGCTCACACCTACATGTTTCCGGATTTTAACTATTACAGTAGGTACCCTACCCACAAGTAAACGTTTTCTAGGATAATGTGAACTTTATAATCTATGTTATTATTATTATTTATATTTGGTGTCCAAAACATAGGCCCTAACAATTCAGTAACGTATAAAAATACAAGTAATTACTTACATTACAAAACACAACTAGTTACACCCTTCTTTAGCAAGGGTTAATAGCAAACCTTACAATCTACGCTCATCATTCTGCTATCATCGACACCTATTGGTAAAAATGAAAACTAACAAAATATCAAATTATTTTGTTTTTACAGGTTTCAAGAGATCACAGCATATTGATCTTACTATCTTCTTTTGTTAAGCTTATTAAGACTCAATAAAGTTAAGAGTAGAGTTAATTACGGACAATATGTCATATGTTTTGTTAGTTGTTTTCCTGTATATAGCTTTATTCTTATGCGAGTACAAGTGGCTTTAGTACTCCAACTGACCTCTTTATCAGAACCCTCTCGGACATTTATAGACACACCTCATTTACTTGCCTATGAAAAGCAGACTGATCACGTGATCAAACACACTGATGCCTGAGAGGACCTTGAATGTAAAGGTGTAATTATATCGCAATTAGCCTGGAATGAAATGGATAAGAAAAGAAGAACACCCCTCCAACTTTCAAAGATCATCAGAGTAGGTGCCTAGCTAACAGGAACATTATCAATAACATCTGATCAAATCAAGTTACCTACCTAGATCAGAACTGGATATTAACTTAATAAATAATTTAGCTAGTTTAACATACCAATCTAACTAGGAGTGTGTATTTTCATAAACCCAAAAAAGTACTGATTCCATTCTGTTATCGAAATTTTCACAACAATATCTCACGAGTTTTGAAGAGTTAAGTTAGTCCTAAGCTGACATACAATTCAGTGTAAAATAATAATAGTATATAGATATACATGCATTACCCACTTTATCCGATACTGTTAATAAAACCGACTTTAGAGGAAGAATGGATTGTAACTACAATACAAGAAATAACGACTATTTCTAGCTTGCTTCACGTTCCGTCACAGAATCCTCGACCCTAGGGAAGCGTTAGTCCACCCGTCGGAAAATGAGTCTCAAAGGTTTGTTGGTTTGTTTTGAATTTCGCGCAAAGCTACACGAGGGCTATCTGCGCTAGCCATCCCTAATTTAGCAGTGTAAGACTAGAGGGAAGGCAGCTAGTAATCACCACCCATGGTCAACTCTTGGGCTACTCTTTTACCACCAAATAGTGTGATTGACCGAAACATTATAACGCCTCACGATTGAACGGGCAAGCATGTTTGGTGGGACGGGGATTCGAACCCGCGACCCTCAGATTTCGAGTCAAGTGCCCTAACCACCTGGTCATGCCGGGCCACGAGTCTCAAAGAGTTTCCTGTGAGAGTAATTTATATGATAATTAAGTTCAACATGCTAGTATCGAAGACTGTGTATTCCCAAAAGATCATGCTTTACCTGTTTCCTCTTCGTCTTTAATAATGACCATTGGGCAATGTTTCCATGAAATCAGAGCTTTTCAGGGAACAATTATATTAATGCTGTCAAATTCTTATTACACAATGTTCCATAAACTGGTTAATACGTGTCTTAGGTCTATGACTTTTATTCACACAGTTAAGTAGACCGAAGGCACTTATGTCCAATGGAACTACAGGAGCAAACCTGTCAAGTGCCCAAATGTCAAGTGCCCAAATGTAGTTCCATTAGACATAAGTGCCTTCGGTTTACTTAACTGTGTGCATAAAAGTCATAGACCTAAGACACGAATTAACCAGTTTATGGAGCAAACCTGTCAAGTGCCTAAATGTAGTTCCATTGGACATAAGTGCTTTCAGTGTACTTAACTGTGAGCATAAGAATCATAGACCTCAAATATTAATTAACCAGTTTAAGGAGCAAACCTGTCAAGTTCCCAAATGTAGTTCCATTGGACATAAATGCCTTCGGTCTACCTAACTGTGCATAAAAGTCATAGACCTAAGACACGAATTAACCAATTTATGGTTTGCTCGATAAACTGGTTAATTCGTGTCTTAGGTCTATGACTTTTATGCACACAGTTAAGTAGACCGAAGGCACTTATGTCTAATGGAACTACATCTGGGAACTTGACAGGTTTGCTCCATAAACTGGTTAATTCGTGTCTTAGGTCTATGACTTTATGCACACAGTTAAGTAGACCGAAGGCACTTATGTCCAATGGAACTACATCTGGGCACTTGACAAGTTTGTTACATAAACTGATTAATTAATATTTTAGATCTATGATTCTTATGCTCACAGTTAAGTACACCTAAGGCACTTATGTCCAATGGAACTACATCTGGGCACTTGACAAGTTTGTTACATGAACTGATTAATTAATATTTTAGGTCTATGATTCTTATGCTCACAGTTAAGTAGACCGAAGGTATATTAGCTCACTGGAGTTACATTTAGGTACTTGAGAAACGTGTGTTGAAGAGGATTGTTGTGATTCCAATATTTTAGCCATCTTTCTCATGTAAACAGGCATTAACCTTTTAGGTGTGGCTGGAATGTTATATACTTTTGCTCTGCGAGTCTTCGTCAACGTCAAATCCCCGTTTCGTTATCTTTTTTTAATAGTTCCAAAATATATATTTGGTCTCATGACGGACACAATGGCTTGTTGAATTAGAGGTCTATCTTCCGTAATCATAGTTTTCATGTTTTGGATGATGGTGGTGATTATCCTAGAGCACTAAACGCCCAGAGGAGCGCTTTTTGTGTCTCTAACATAAGCTGTAAAGAATCCTTTCTCGAAAATCTCGCTGTATATATAACTCTACATATGTATGAGCAACAAAGACAGTAAAATGTGATTTAAGCTGAGACTACTTAAGCTAGAAATGTTAACTCTTGTGAAGTCCATGTCTGTCATTGTGTAATATGTATTAACGATAATAGTGATGGACGATAATTGGGCAAACAAGGCATGGTTAATTAGGCATTCGACACCCAACCTGCAGGTCACGGGTCCCAATCACGTCACCGAACATGCTCGACCTTTCAGGCATAGGAGCGTTATAATGTGAAGTTAAATCCCACTTTTTGATGGTAAAAGAATAGCCCAAAAGGTGGCGGTGGGTGGTGTTGATTAGCTGCCTTCCTTCTATTCTATCACTTCTAAATTAGGGACGGCTAGCGTAGATAACCCTCGAGTAGCTTTACGCGAAATTCAATACAAAAAATATATACAAACAAGTGGACGATAAATTTGATGCAAGACTACAGTGTAAATACTTTTGGGTATTTCAAATATTATCTAATTATCTAAGTGTGTATGTAGATTGCCAAGTTAGTTGTTTTCGTCTTATATCCAACAATAGAATCATTATTAAATGAATTTTAAACTTTT